CGGGATTTCTTAAACGATTATGGGGGTATTATGTGGGGCCTGGAGGTGAAATTATTTTGAGATCTGTGCAATTTACTAAATGAGCTAATATTTTCCCATTAACGTTGGTGTTCAAACATTCCCAGTTGGTATTCTTGGCATTGATATCCTCTAAACGTATCGTATTATTTAATTGAAATAGTTTGTTAATGTTATTGAGATCTAATTTATAACTTGGTGGGTTATATGCTGCAATTACAGTCCATTTGGTATTTTTCATTCCGAAGTTAATGGCAACTGTTTCTGTATTACCAGTACATGTAGTATTATTGGGTAATGTTGAATATTATTAATGATGGCGGTTAGCACTTTTCCTCCTTTGCTTAGTTTTCGGTAGAAATAAAATGTTATAACCAATGACATCAAAAGCTTTTGAAAGATCTAAAAATATTCTAATAGGTGCTTTATTTTGATCCATGGATGAGGCGACATCGTAAAGAAACTAAAATATGGCTGTTTCCGTAGATTTTAATTTTCGAAACTCATGTTGGCAATCTGAAAACGCGTGTTGTTTACTAAGAAAGGTTTCCATTCGTACGTAAAAAAAAGTCTCTCTAATATTTAAAAGAGAGAGAGAGAGAGAGAGAGAGAGAGAGAAATTGGCCGTTAATGTTGAATTTCATTCTTGATGCCTTTTTTGAAAAGCGGCTTAGTCTTAGCTATTTTAAAAATATCTGGAAAAATTCCTGTGCATAAGGATGCATTAAATATGTGAGTTTACGGTTGTATAATGGCAGTTGTGCAAACCTTTAACAAACAATCCGGATATTCATCTAAACAGGTCGAATATTTATTTTTTAGTCAACCGATTATTTTGAAAATTTCATCGGAAGAAGTTTCGGAGACGAACATCATGTCTATAATTTTGGGACAAACGTCTAATGCTGAATTTTGTGGTTGAAGGCCCTTAGTGAGATCGGCAGCAATTCTCGAAAAGTATTGGTAAAAGAGATTAGCCACGGTTGCCGGGTAGTTCACATTTCTATCGTTATCTTTTAAATAATATTCTCTACAAGGTTTCTAGTTGATTTGGTCGCTCTTTTTACTATTTCACCTTGCTTTTGTTTTATTATTTGACTTCAAAATATCCTGATCGTGTTTCATGATTGTAGCCTACCCTATGACTTAACAATTATTTGTAGTTTTTAAAGTACTGGAGGAAATCTTGAGATATGTTTTGATGCTTAGAAATTAAAGAAAGAATTCGTTTGTTTTTACATGTCCTAATCCCTTGTGTTATCCAAGAATTGCTTTTCCGTGAAATATTTAATTTTCTTTTTTGAAGAGGAAAGCAAGAGTTGAAAGAAGTGTTGAAGAGTGAGAAAATAATTGTATTTATCGTTTGTATGAACAGTATTGTAGACCGCGTCTCATGACTCTTGGAGCAAATAATTGATGAATAATTTTATTTTGCTTAAAGTAAACAATCTACTCTTACGTGTATTATTTAATGTGTCAGTTTCTCTTCGCATTTCTTATAAAAGCAAGAATTTGTGCATCGTGACCAGTGTATTCTCAATCTTTTGTTTCAATTTCATAACGTGTAGTGGTTCTGTTAATTATTATTTGATGACTTAAGTTGAAAAACTGCTATTTCTCGCAAGATTCGACCAAAAAATCAATGTTAAAAATCTCCGCTGGTGTTTGTTGTGGCTGTATGCGGCAGTTCGAAAACCGCGAAACAGCTTCCTCGAAGTGTGTCGGGGCGACGTACCGGCCAAGGCGCCGGCCAATGGGGAACGAGCGGCCCGCGGGCGGAGCGGCAGCCGAGCTGCGAGACTATGCGGGGACTCGGAATTGAACCGGGCACCGCCACCTCAGCAGTAGGCAGAGTGAGCGAGAAGTCCGGCGCTATAACAGAGAGTCAATGAAGACTGGATTCTGGTTTAAAACCGGCACCGCGTTTGGACAACTTTTGATAAACTGTCGACGGCGCTACTACTGGTGCATCCCTTGTATAAACGATATTTTCGCTTCGTTCCTGGACATTCTTCTGGTGATAGGAATATTACTGATTGTAAGAACTCAACCTGTGGAGTTGAATAAAAAACTTGTTAATTTTTTACATTGTGTTTTGCCTGGGTACAGCCACTTTACGCACGGCATACGCACGCAGGGCCTTGAACCCAATTGAAAAGGGCCCCGACTCCCTTTTTAATAAAACTTTTTAGTTTCGTAAATTTGTGTTAAACTTTCGTGTTACACATGGCGATGTTACATAATACATTTTTTAAAATAAGAGACGATTAAAAAAACTCTTTAAGCGTATTTCTTTATTAGAAAACAATTGCCCACAACGTAATGTAGTACTATTTATATTATATTGCACGTTTGAAACGCTGTTTTTGGATAAATTGTGTATAGATTATTGATTTGGCAGAAAAAAAAATAATTAGTTTCCCAAAAAAATAACGGGACTATGTATACATTTAAATACACCTTTTTGACATGTCATTTTTAACGGATCATGAAATCGACATTAGCTAAAAGGCTGGGCACTCCCACTGGCCGCCACCAGCACTCCTATTTGCGAGTGCCACACCGAAACTAGGGCGCACGCCACCCCCACGACACCATGACGTTGGCCCGAGCGGTTTAATACACACGAGGAAGGGCACCACAAAGTTGCCTCGTAAAACCCCTCTTCATGAGGACGATAAGCAAGTAGTCCGCCAGTCCCCCAACCCTACGGTTGCCCCTTCGGGTCTTGAACTAAATATATAATTATTGCATTACCCGGGCACTGGCGCGCCAGCTTTACGTGTCGTTTTGACGGGCTGGAGAGCAGGGCAAAAGGTTCGCACTACGACACGAGAAACCAGTTCGGCACCCGGGGCGCCCTATCCGCATGTGGCCCTCATTAGTGCAGTCCATATAGCATCGGCCATTTTGAGTTAGTACAAGAGTAAGAATGTTGATTTAGAAATTCGTTGGTGAAATTGTGAAGTAGTTGTGATTCTTCTGCACGCAGGGCTCTAATCGAATGATGGAGTATATAGTGTTGTACAAAGAAGTCTTAAAATAATTTTTCTAAACCTTACGCGTAGTTCGGAAAATTAGTTTGTTTCCCAAATTCAACCTTGAATAACTTCAAGTTAAACTAATCAGTCTATTTAGATAACCAAAGTGTAAAGTAACGCTCTCAAATCATTCAAATAAGGTATCCCGAGATATGTTATCTCGCGTACGCATAACATACGCAACGGAAACGCTCTTATTAATTTTTTCTATCGGACTTATCATTAACTACACAAACAATTCTGCTGTAAGCCATTTTCGGTTCAAACATTAGTGCCTATATACGATCACTGCATATCTCGAAAAAATAGGAATTTGGATAACAGAAAGATATATGACAGTTCACATACATATAATATAAATAAAGAAATCAACCTATTAAAATAATTTATGAATTACTAACAATTAATACCAATATAAAAGAGTAAGAATTTACCAAAATACTTCGTACAATTATATTAAAAAATAATATTATTATAAAAATTGTAACAATCATAATGAAATTCTTTATTTTCAAGTTCTACCAGTGTGACAGACAAATAATGGCTTCAATAATCCCACTGCGCAAAGTCACTCGCTTGACTCGTTCCGAATCCGTTTCACTCTGGTCCCTTCACCGAGTGGGCACTTGTTACGAAGCGCCGACTCTTTTTGCCTGCCACGAGAGTGTGCTTCAGTCAACGAATGAAAAATGCTGTTAAGGCGAGAACCAATGACCCACCGCCAGACTTCGCTTCCTGCCTCTGCCTGCTTGAATTCGGAAAATTTACAAAGGTTAGAATTGTTCGGCGTCTCTTTCTGCAAGCTACACTATTGATATACAATTATTGCTTCAGATTATTATTTTGGAAATTTTAGTAATTCAAGCAAGTTTGAGTAGAATATGGGCAATATTAAAAACAAGATTTTCTCAAAAACTAACCCAATTTTTTGTTTGCACTGTATAACTTGACGTAAAAGTCATTTTGCTGTATTCTTTTCTTTTTTCCAAAACATATTTTAATGTCATTTTTTGAATATATTTCCTACGTCGTTAAAATTGACATTACCGTCAAATTGCATACATTATTGCATTTTGTTCTGTCAGTGTGATGGAAAATGTGCTATAAATGATTTAATATAAAGTTTCTTGAATAATCAAATATTTCTGTGAAAAGAGCTCAAATTTGCGCATTTTTAGAAATGATCAATTCCCTTTTTTTGAAAACGGCTCCATTTATTCTTTAGATTTTTTAACGCATACTGCTAAATTGAATAAAGAAAACGACGTAAATGCCACTCTGCTGTATTGTTTTTTGTTGTTTATTTCAAATATTAAAGAAAACAAATTTGTTAAAATATGTCATGACATCAATATTACATTACGGACATATGTTATATTATCGCATTTGTGAGTGTAATTACTTCAAATAATTTCTCATGAAATTTCTTGAATAATGGAGTTTTTTTATAAATATGAGTTTCAAAATGCGCATTATTAGAAATGTTCAAACGAAAGCAATTCCAAATTTTCCAATAAAATTGTGCAAGTAGGACCATATTTTACACGTCGATAATATTATTTAAGTCAATTGTCAATGTTCCGATTTAGAAAGTGATGGCTGAGGCGTGTAAATAAGGACAGAAATTGAAGTATTTACTTTAACGAAACCGTTTTCTGACGCTGGAAACTACAAGCTGTTGCTGCACCACCGGTTCGTCTCTAATGCGATAGTGTTTTTATAAAATTTTATTTTGTGGTTGATGTGTCAAATTTGAAATGAAAAATGACAGTAAGAAAATATTTTTGTAAATATGTTATGTATAATTTTCTACCAAAAACTAACTCGTGTTGTTTACTATTTTTAATGTATGCTTTAATATTTTCGATTTTTTTACAGTGTTATATGCACGTGCAGAGGAATGGTCGTGGGTTTTCAGGGCCCGTGAGCCTTCGGGTGGAGGGCTGCGGGTGGGGCGTTGCAGGGCGGCGGCGACCACAGCGCGGCAGAACGCCCTCTCCGACCGCTCTAGGAAACGACACACGAGCAGTCAAGGTTGCGACATTGGTGGAAGGTGTGTTACTTATACGCAATACGCTCAGAAACGGAAAGGAAACTGTGCATCCTCCGGCAATGTGAAAGGCGTCTAAGGTTTCGCAGGGGCAGATGCAGTGACGAATTTTGCGAAGGGAAATTCAAAATGCTTTGGTCGAAGGTGTCATATTATAGGTCTTTTAAAATGACCTAGTCTATCCTAGCTCATAATGCAATACGGTTTTAAACGTTTTAATGATTATCCTAAAATATTTTCGTTTGAAAGTTTCGTGACAAGTTAAAATAAATACTAAAACATTTACTGTGTGTGTGGGGAGTGGGGGGGAATTCCCCCATTTGTCTCCCCGAGGATCCGTACCTGGGCTTCATTATATACCCAGGAACTCTGGAAAAGTCTAAAAGCAATAAAATCGATGAAATATTAAACCGTTTAGTTTGTGTCTGAAAAATGAAAACGTATGACTGGACTTATACGGACTGAATTATCGTTTTCACTTCGTCATGCGACAGCAAGTCTTAAAGGAGGAAAACGCCCTCCAATAAATAATTGATTGGAGGGCGACCTCTTCCTTCTCTAAATATTAATATTAATGCCAAAAGTATTACAATGAGAATCTCGGTCTCTCACTTTAATATTCGGTACAATAGTCCGTGAACGGGAACAGCAACAGGAAGGCGAGGTCAGGAACGGGGACACGAGATACTTGGGCTTCACAACAAGCGACAATGGGAAAAGCAATAATGCCAAGTGCCTTTTGCGGCAAAAAAGAGAGCTTGGAGATACAGTTGCCGAAACCAATGCACTTGTAGCTTCGCTCGTCTGTTCACTCTTTGACTCGACATCTGTGTTCGCATGTGCCGCTATGAATAATGAATGTATGAACGAAACCTTCCGACTTGTGAGGTGCAGTCCGACATGACGACGTTACAGTACCTAGGTGGATCAATAAGTCTGGTAAATTTCCATTAAATAATAGATGCTAAGACTGATTCGTGAAACTCTCTATTCTAATTTACAAACAAATACCTTGCGCAGCTGTTTGTTGGCGTTTATCTTAATTGACAACGAGTGGTGACAAAGGGTGCAAAAACGGAGAAACACCAGTTAAGTGCGGTTATAAAACATTTATGTTCTACAGAAGTAGACTGCGATTCAGATACAATGTGAGGTGAAAGAAGTTCATGGGGACTCTGCACCAGTACTAATGACTACTCACTACTGGATCAATGAATTAA